CTCACTTCCAAAAGAACAAGACCTCACTTGCCATGAACATGGCTTATAGCAGTTCGCAAGCAATCCCCGACTCCCGCCTTTCCCACTGGTGCATAAGTATGTTTGTCTTCTCCGGAAAAAAAGGGGCAAGGTGCAAAATCCGTCCTGAAGTGCCTGGATGGCTGGAGTAATGCCACTGCCAGCCACCACGAAAACCAGACCTGGATGCGCATTTCTTGGCCTACTTTACAAACTCTTATGCAAACTCGCATGCTCACACTGCATGTGTCCGCCTACAAAGCCATCTGAGCAGATTGCCGCCGACCCTGTATGGGCTAAGGGGACACGAAGACCGTTGCCTCCTGCACAAATCTCAAGCATGCACCAACCAGTCAAGAGGCTTCGGAAGTTTACGATCTGCTGTAGCCTGGCGGGGATTCTCCAGTCGGAGTCGGGGATTCAGAGTGAATTCCACGGGATTATGTGGGTCAGTCTTCGGGATCACGCAAGGGATCTGAGGGAAGCTGTGGTGTTTTTCTGTCCCCGGGGTCAGCCACGTTTGCTCGATGGATGTGCAGCTAACATGCCAGAACCAACAGCAACAGCCATACAGGTCGACATGGTGGTCACAACAAATTGCTACTGAAACAAGGGGTGCTGTGCGCAAGTACCTTCACAGTATCCGCAACAATGGATTGCTGGGATAGTGCCTTGTCAGTGTCTTTGCTGACCATGAGAGGTTGAAATCCTTAGCTTACTGGTGGTCAGTAGGGAAGAAGGGAACATGATCCCTATGTAATCTCTCTATATGATATATCCCCGCATTCCCTACTAAACCCTCAGGAGGTTAGAGTCAGAGAACATGGGCTGGCTTGAAAGGATCTGCTCAAGGAGACTGATCGGCACATGCTGAAGCTTCTGGCCAGGAGTGCGCGTATGCAAACTCACAATAGCAATAATTTGGGTACGGACCCTAGCCATGAACAGTCTCTGAAGGGGGTCAAATTAAGGGCTCTATATAAATATATTCTGCATATTATCCAAACTGTTAATGAGTGGGGGCAGCACCCAGGCAATAATAGCGGTGTAGTAGTACTTGAAATAATCGTCGTGGTAGTTATAGTGGTGGTAGTAGTAGAAGTAAGTAGTAGTAGCAGCAGTAGTAGTAGTACTTAGTAGTATGAGTAGTAGTAGCAGTAATAGTTATTGTTGTTGGTTGTCGTTGTAACACAAACAATTGTAACAAAGAGGCCTCTTTGTCCACCAATCTGACCAAGTCACACCCAGCGGCCCGCGCATGTCTACCAACTGTCCTGGTGCCATCCTCGGGTGGTTCAGGCGATAACCGAATAAGGGTGAAATGTGGGTTTCCCAAAATCATGAGTCCTTCCTGGGGGTACCCATAAGTAGGGTTTATAGAATCTTTCTGGTTCCCCTTATTTCTGGAAACTACCATGTTGCAGATGGGCTGAAGGCATCTGATGGTGGTTTGCAATTCCAAGCTCCAACAGCAAGGTCGCGTCGGTAGAATCCAGATGCATCCCCGCACAGCTTGGGCTACATGAGCTACAATTCCTTTGCCGTTTTAGGGTTTGTGGGTTTGGGGTTTGCCACTTGCCACTTGCATGGCGCTCGTAGGGTTTAGCAGTTTAGCAGTCAATATTCCCACAGAAGAATATATTCGCGGACTATGCTCAACCACAAGAGGGACCCCTATGTCCACTATTAAGATCCCCTTAGTAATGCTCATATTGACAGTAGCTCACACGAATTATTGTAGTCTAAATTCCTAGTATCCCCCCTTGGTGCTACAATACTCCCATATGTAATCCCCTAAGCAACCCACTTTTGAGGACTATAGAACACATGAATTGTTGTTGCTGATGCGGGCCTACCTACCCTCCACTTCGCGGCTGGAATCTTCAGGGCCAGCACAACGTAGCATTCAAGATGTTCAAGCGCTGCGGGACCGAATCACAGTGATGACTAATTAGTATTGGTATGAATTTTTTTGCAACCCTCCAGCATCCCGCACTGAGCAGGTCAGGGCACTCACTCACATCAGCAAGCGCGCAGCACTCTAGAAAACAGCATGCGCCGTCCGCCAAATATTACTACTAATTATAGTTGTTCTTGGTACTGTTATTTTGACCAAGCAACGAAAACCAAACCGGGGGTCGAAACTCCTTCATCCCTTTGCCTCCTATGGATGTAAGATTCTTTTGCAGCAAAGCTCTTTCCTGCCCAAGCTAAACTGGCCAATGGCCGGGGACAGCAGCTGAAGCTTTCAACAGGGCCCGGATACTCCTCCTGAAGTGGACCATAGCTTGAAAACCCCCCGGCCACATAGTTTTGGCAGGCGACTTGGCAAGCCTAGGCGTCAGCAAGCCTCCGGCACATCTTCGCAATTTCTTCAGGTGCACGATTTAAGGTCCAAACTTTCAGGGTGGTTGGTCTCCAGGATCCAGGCCAGTGGCCAGGACCCAGTGTCTGCCTGGGGATTCTTTGGAACTGAAAAAAGCCCACACGCCTTCTGAGTAGATCTTCACAGCCAAGTCGAAGCTACCCGGCCGGCCCAACGGAGAGACTGGAGTGTATTCCTGAGCAATGCAACTCACAAGTACAAGTCGTAGTAGTAGCAGTAGGAATGGTAGTAGTGGTTGTGGTATTAATAGTCGTCGTCTTCGTCGTCGTCGCAGTCGCTGCCGTTGTCGTCGTTGTCGTGGTACGATAGTGAAGAATCCAAATACTGGTGCCACTAGCCGGAAGACTCTGAAGAAATAATATTCATAAGAATCGGAAGCACTCTGACCGGAAGACGAATGATCTGCAGTGATGCGGATATACAGGAAAGTGTACAATGTGGGGGATATGCTAAGCGAACAGTAGCTGCTAAGCCATGCTCATGGAAATTGTGACCAATTCGAAGCTCCTAAGAATTTCAGCGTGTGCATAGCTTTCCCAATCCCTCAGCACTTAAGGTTGCTCTAGAACGATACTTGTCATGTCAAGCCTTTCGCATGCCGCGCACACAAATGGTTGTTGGCAGAACGCCTGCGAACGACTCCGAATGCTTTCGAGCGGCCTTTCTCACGGCCACTTTGAAGGATTGCCGCGGCGACCCGCGAAATCATACAACTCCAGATTGCTACAGCAAATGTCTCGTTTGAAGCGTGGAGGGTAAGGCTGAAGTTGGTAAGTTTGCGCTCTTCTTACTTTCTTGAATATTTAGTAAGTCATCCAGATGTTTTGTAGTTTTGTGGGGATCCTAATTTTGGTGGCTACCCGGCTAAAGCAGCACCCGGATCCCCCACAGACTCGCAAAGACCCAGTGTGCACGTGGTTTCATGCGTTGCAACGCGAACTGTTCCCCAGAACATCCCCAAACCTATGGACGCAATCCTCGACAGCCCTAGTGCATCTTTCCACTTTTCTACCTGCTACAGCGAAGGCTCAAGTTCAACCAGTTTGAATGTCATGGGCCAACTAGTGTTGCAGAAGCTGAAGATTTGGGACAAGGACAAGCTAGATGAGAAGAGAACGTTGGCGTAACACTGGCAGTTTTCACTGATGGCCCTATTGAACCTGAACTCTAATGTGGCAAGTGTCACGCTCCACAGTTGCAGGACCACTTCCATCCGTCTTTGGCAACGTCATGCGTATCTGAACCTGCACACGGCAAGTCAGCCATGTCTCATCCACATCCAGCGCATGCCGAGACCGTAGGGCCCGCAGGCATGACATCGCGAATTGATAGGCAAAGCCTTACCGTTGACTGTCCAACAACTACTTTTCTGTTTAGTAAGCGCTCCCCACAGAGGTTAGTCATTCCCTGAAGAAAGGCGACTCTTCCCTCGGCCACAACATGCCAAGCCGTCAACGCTGACTGTCAAACTTTGGCACGTGCCCTGAAAAATCACCGCCCTCATCTGAAGAAGTGCTACACTCTAGTTTCCTGCTGATGCCAAGTATTGCAGCTAGGTCCTACAAGGTCGCCATCATTGCATCACCATCTCACAGAAGTCTTCGGAGGACACTTAACACCGGGCAGCATGCCGCAGCGACGCCCAGCCAAGCCGTTGCTCCTGCCACTGCTCAGCTTTTGTGCAGCATCTTGACATGGGAGCTGAATCAAATTGTCCACGAGTGACTCGCATGCATCTGCTTTCCGAAATCGGGTCTCCGCAGGCAGAGCGAAGCGGAACAGCCAGATGCTGCCTGCCAGCTGCTTCTTGCCTCCGAGCCAACTTAAGCAGGGAATGCAGTCCGAACAGTCGCAAGAGCGTGTAATGCATGTGCTCCCTTCCTGCCCCCCTATACTACTCTCAAGTTCCGCTCTTAACTAGCAAGCCCATGAATCATGAGTTTCTTCTCGGGGTTGTCACGGCAATGATCCTACTTGAGCAATGGCGGTATCATACCGTGCGTTTCCGCTTCCACAGCCAACCTCCTACCTAGCTAAGATGGGTAAGTCCCCCTGAACCGATTGGCAGGCTGAGATGCTCAAAAGGCGGAAAGGCCGCCACTCGCGCGGATGCAAGCTCTGCAAGGTAGCAGGTTGGGTCAGCAGAGCTGGTGGCGGCATCTTCTGGGCCGACCTTGGCAAACCCCAAAATCCTCACTGCACAAAAAATTGTGGCATTGTGTAGCTATCCAACATGGATGCCAGCTTTCATGTCAATCTTCGTGATTTACGTGATGAGAGTCCGATCAGGGTGGGGAAAGCGCATCCTGAGCAAGAGGCGCTTTCGCCCTCAGCTCCGCCATCACCTGCGCGGCAGCTTGCTGGACCAAATGTCAGCCACGCACCAAATTCCCTTGACAAATCCTGTGGAGATGTGTGGAGATGATCATCCAGGCTCGCTCATCCAGCTTTGCTTAGAGCCTACCTCGCCACTCCTCTTGTAGCCAGAAGAGGGAGGCTTCTCCTGCATACTGGTGCGTGTTCAGGGAGGAGCAGGCTGCATGATGCAAAGTCGGGACATCGGAGATTAGGAAGGAATAGTAGCTGCTACAATCACGGCATTAGGTCAGCAGACTCAGTCTGCTTACGTTGAGGATGAACACACGCGGTGCACGGATTGGCTCCGGGCAATCAAGACTTTTGCCGTCCGGCGCAAAGGCGCGGTCGCCTGCCCAACCAGCAGTCACACTCCAGTCCAGGTTTAATGAATCTCATGGTGTAGCGCAACATCACGCAGCAGCTACTTACGCACCCTGGACAGGATTGCCATTGCTCATAATCTTGGAATCGGCCCGACCCTGCAGCACGACTTCATCTCTCCAATGCGCCTTGTGCCACATTTTTAGCAGCGTTGGCGTTGTAGGCAAACTGATCGCTCTCGAACTTGCCCTCTTGGCTGAGTTTTACCCAAATTCCTCCAAGTGTTGGGAATGAAGGCTTTAACAAGATGACGGCCGGACTATGTACAGCGTGTTCTAGTCAAAGCGAATGTTGAGATCATTAAACCTCTCCTATCACAAGCAAATGAACAGGAAACAACATTGTCTCCAAGTAGGTTACTGAAAGGATCGTAGAGTTGGTGTAATGCCCTCGGTCCTCCCTCCTGCCCGCCACCCTCACGAAGCATCACCTCATGTGTCCGCTGCGTGTTGCGTGTGTACTTCCAGCCGTCAGGAATCAGCTTCCTCAGCTGCGATTTAGTGAGCCCCGATACGCAGCCTTGAAGGCTTTACTTCAGCACTTGCATAGCGCAAACAGAAAGGCTAGTGGGGGAGTGGGGGGGGGGGGTGGGGAGCGATGATGGTAACACATCATGGTGTTGTGCTTAGGATGCAATTCTTGTGCTGTTGTTCCTTCTGAAAATCCCAGAACCCTAAACCCATACTCCGAGTTGCAACTTTTTGTTCGATTTGATGACTACTTATCCATTGTTGGGTACTGTTCCTATACAACCAAATTAGGTAGACACTAAGAGCATCATCTGCTGGGCCCATTATCACTATAGTAGATAGGTAGGAATAGGAAGCAAAAGCCCCCTCCCCTTCCACAATGTTTATATGTAGAACTCACCCGACGGTAGGGTGAAGGGTTCAGGCGCTTAAGTGCGATTGGGGAGCTCCAACAATAACTTTGGGTACATTTCGGCTTAGAGGTGAGGTAAATCACTTGACTTCGCTCTTCATTGCATAATTGTGAAGTAGCATTTCCTGGAAGGTCTGGTCAATTTGTTCCTGGCGACTTCGTTGGTAAGGATTTAGGTATTTGCAGGGGAAGGTGATGAATATCGTCACCACGGGATGATGAGACGGAAGCTCCAGTCATGTGGCATTCTTTTAAAGAGTGTTCTGGTGCCCGGGGGAAGTGCAAAAGCAGCCGGTAGAGCCTCACCAGAACCAACCCTACGCGAGCTCCTAAGTTCTGAGTGTTCTGAGGTGCTGTCTCAATGACCCAAATTATCCCCAAGTGCCTGCTCGAAAGCTCAGGAACGTGGGCAACCTGTGGATAATGTGCCATAAACCGAGATGCTTGGTTGCCGGATCAAATTTCATGGACTGGTACGGCTTCGCTCCATCTGTCAGTCTAACGCCGTAGTCGTGCCACGGACAACGAATGCAAAGCTCCCCATTGACCTGACAGTCTTCGTGATGCTATACGCTATCAGCATGCTATCATGAGACCAGGCCTCCTCGATGTCGCCAATGGCCAGGGGGCCACCAGTGTGGTAGCAAATCGAGTCGATGCAGTGCAACACACCTGCCACTTTGATGTGCGCGGCCGTGTGTTGTCAAACCACCGTACACAAGCCCAAGCCCGTCACAAAGGCGTGGCAGTCTAAATGCCTGAGTGCTTGGAGCTCAGGCCAGGTCCGTTTCAACGCAAGAACCACACCACACACGTTCTTATGGGGGCGTGCAATTCCACCAGGCCTTTGCGAAGTGCATGTAGGTGCTGGCTGAGTAGGTACACGACATTGTACTTATGATGTGAAGGAACGTGGCTTGCGCTGGTAGCAGGATGCATAGAATCAGGGATGCGGCAGGAAGCATCCTGGCCTACCATCCTCTGTCCCTATATAGCATGTATAGTACTCTGCAGATAAGCAGGTAACCGACTCGGACCCCATGTATCCATCCCGAGCAGGTTCACGCGCCTCCTTGTCCCTGGACGACAGAAACAAAGCGGCCCTGGACCTCCGCATGAAGTCGGGCGCCCGGGCGGGAGAGGGCAGCGCCTGAGAAGGCGTTCGAATGGGTTCTTTGCTTAGGACGATGCAGCGACGATCGAAGCAAGTAGCAGCCTGCTTATCGTGGGTCGTCACTAATGCGGTTTTGAATGGTTTTGACCTTCTCATTTGTGGCTGTGATGAAGCTGAGGCTGGAGATCTCAGAGCTTTCTCGCATGGAGTTAAGCTCAGGTGGCACGTAAGCACTGTAAAGGAAAGCATAGCCGCAGAGTGAGTCAAAGCACCAAAATTATCACGTGATTTGTGCCACTGCAAAAAAAATCGTGCGAGTGGGATGTTTTTTGACGGCATTGGACACTACAACAATAATAAGTACTGAGTGTTTCTAGACTCTGAACCAAAAATGAAGCTTCCTAGGCTCAGAATGGAACATTGAAGCTTTGAACCGGATCCTGACAGGTTAGCAAAGGTGCAAAACCCGCTCAGAACATGCACCCCAAGGAACATGTTCACAAGCTGTCGCTGTTTCAAAGGCAATGCGCTAGGCAGCAACAAAAGCCAACATCAGCATTGTTAGCGGGGCTGGCCCACACGTCTCAAATGGCACCAGCGGAAAAGGGGCAGCAGCGCACAGTCAGTGACCTGTCGGTTCTCAGTAGGGCTTCTCAGCAGACACGATGGCCAGCATCAGCAGCATCAGCGACCTAGCCGATCTACCGTTTCTCAGATGGAGCTTCTTTGCAGAGATGAACGCCAGCATCAGCAGCATCAGTGCCCTGCCGTTTCAACAAGGCTTTTCAGCAGACACAGAGGCCACCATCAGCAGCATCAAAGCCCACTTTTTCCCAAGATGGGCTTCTTTGTAGAAATGAAGGTGACCTGCTGTTCTTCAAATGGGGCTGCTTGCAGACTCGAAGGCCAGCAGCAGCGTCAGTTGCCGTTTCTGAAAGGGGGCGTCCTAGCAGGCACGAAGACCACCATCAGCAGCATCAGTGACTTGCCGTCTCTCAGATGGGGCTTCTTAGCAGACACATAGACCGGCAACAACAGCATCAGCGCCCTGCCGTTTTTCAAACAGTGCGTCTTGGTAGACGCAAAAACCAACATCAGTAGCATCAGTGACCTGCTATTGCTCAAATGGAGCTTCCTAGCAGACACCAAGGCCAGCATCAGCAGCCCACCGTTTTTAAAAAGGGGCATCTCAGCAGACACAAAGAGCAAAACCAGCAGCATCAGTGGCCTACTGTTTCTCAATCAGGGCGCTTAGCAGAAACCAAAGCCAGCATCAGCAGCATCAATGGCCTACCGTTTCTCAAATGGGGTGTCTTCGCAGACGCCAAAGCCAGCATCAACAGCATCAGTGACCTACCGTTTCTCGAATGGGGCGTCTTAGCAGACTCAAAGACCAGCATCAGTAGCATCAGTGACCTGCCGTGTCTCAAACGGGGCTTCTTAGCAGACAACAAGGCCAGCATCAGGCAGCATCAATGGCCAGCATCAGCGGCATCAGTGGCCTATCGTTTCTCAAGTGGGGCGTCTTAGCAGACCCCAAAGCCAGCATCAGCAGCATCAGTGGCCTACCGTTTCTCAAGTGGGGTGTCTTAGCAGACACCAAAGCCAGCATCAGCAGCATCAGTGACCTACCGTTTCTC